TCTGACTAGAACCCTTGGTTGAGGAGCTCACGACCTCCATGGGTGGAGCTATTACTATTATTTTTCTAAGTGGACTCTGTAGCAAACTGACATCTCTGTTCCCCTAGATGAGTGCAGCTATTACATCCCGCGGGAGAAGTTTCTTTATGCAGTAAACATCAATTATTGCAAAAACTAACAGTCAGTAAAAGTGTAGAGAACAAGATTCCATGGATTGTTCAGTTATAAGTAGGACACTGAATCACACCCACTCCTCCAAAGCTCGGGACCATTTTGGGAGTGGGAGCAAAGGATTGTAAGGACAAGAGGTTGGGGAGGACTGGAAGGAAGCAGTGTCTTCTGTATATGACAAGACCAGTGTACTCACAAATTCTCAGCAGCTATGGTTGGCTACACAAGACCAGCACAAGATCAAGCCAGTCAACATTCCAGCATAGAGAGGAAGGGTGTAATGAGTTTCCACCCCTTGATGAGCAGCTGTTGACAGTTGATAGCTTCTGGGGAAGGAGAAGTCCATATTCTTTAAGGCTGTGGCCACAACTACATTACCCATGCACTAGTGTATGACTCTACGCCTGTGAATATATAGGCAGCATAAACTGGACTTTCTAGTATTTTTAAAATAAAGACTTAAAGTTGCGAGGGGATGGAGAGTGAAAAGAGATTCAGAAAGATATAACTAGATATAAGATATCTAGTTCTTATAAAGGAAGGCAGCTAAAGAAGGATAAAAATCTATGAACAACACTTGAAGCATGGAAAGCCAAAAGCAAAGAGGCAGAAGTAAATTGAACCTTAATTACAAATAATTACCTGATCTAGTCAAAAGGCAGGAATTATCAGCCTGTATTAAAACATGAAACAAGACCCAACTTTATGTTGCATAAAGTAAACACACTTTAGATACAAAGATTCTCGTAGGCTGAAAACAATAAGAAGGGAAAAGATGAACCATGCAAGCAGCAACCCTGTGAGACTGCATTAATATCAGACAAAAGGGACTTTGAAATAGGAGCTAGAGAAGGGAAGACCACCCAGGAAGAAGACTGGGGTATCGCGGAGCAAAAAAGTGTGGGGTGAGATTCTGGAAATTCTCAAGTTAAGAACTAGGACAAAGAGGAAAGAAAGGTTTTGAAAAAGAAAACCCATACTACAGCATTTTTCTAAGCCACGGTAGAAAATGCACACATTAGAACCCTTCAGACCAAGACATAAGATTGCAGGAAGTGAGCCATCTGCTCCTCACTGATCCTGCTGTGTTTGACAAATGAAGAAATGATAGTAATAGTGACTTCCGAAGCCAGAGGAATAATAGAACAAAGCTAAACCTCAACCCTTCTTTCTTTCTCTGCCTCTGTCTTATCTTCCCTCCCTTCTCTCTGTTCCCAGCTCCTACCTCTCCTCCTAGTTCCAGTCACGCTCATGGATCTTTGTACAGTCAAGGATCTCTAAGAGTAACAACTTGCAAACGAATCTCCCTATATATAGAAAGGGGATTCATTAGAACAGCTTCCAGGCTGTGCTTCAGCTAGTCCAGCAATGGCTGCCTATTAATGAAAGGTCTAGGAATCCAGTAGTTGTTCAGTCCACAAAGCTGAATGCTTCAGCTGCTCTTCAATGTATGCTGGAATCCTGAAGAAGCAGACTCTAATGCCAGTGAAAAATGAACTTGCTACTGAGGCAAGCAGGCAAAGAGCAAAAGCACCCTTCTTCCATGTGGTTAGAGGTGGGTCTTCCTACCTCGAAAGATCTGGATTAAAGGTAAGTCTTCTCACCCTCAAAGATCAAGATTAGAAGTGGATCTTCCCAATTCAAAAACAGATGTTCCCCATTTGGAAGTTTTAGTTAATTCCAGTTGTAGTTAAGATGACAAACAAGACTAGCCATCACAGTCTATATCACTATTTTTGGGACCTCGAGATTGTAGTGGCCCATGGGGCCTGGGATCTTGGTAGAGCATTAAGATTCTGAATCAGTGGAAGAATTCAGGTTGTTCTTCAGTTATCTATTCCTTTGCGGATGCCTGGCTAGCTTTCCTGGATTTTAGTTTCCTTATCTTTCAAAAGAGAAGTCACAATTCTACAGAGATGTAACTTCTAAGGAATGAATGAGAAAAGCACCCTACTTTAAGGAGTGTATACATTGTATTGAAGATCATAGCTACTCTATCAAGGACTCCAAGGATCAAGGAGACCCTAGGGTACTTTTAAAAAGTAATGCCCCTTCAGTAAGAACTTGCTCCATAGGTAGAGAAAAGCAATTAGGGAGAGACCAAAGCCTCTATCACATTGTGGGTTAGATGCTAAACAAGACCCATTGCCAACCTAGCAATGACTTCAGATGTTAGGCCTCACTAATGTTTATGTGAAAGCAAATGCACAGGCACTCTTTTGCCATGGAAATGCCAATGATTCCTGATTGTCTGGACATTTCAAGCATTGCTGTTGATGCATGACATCAATGCCCTTGGGTGGCTGTTATTTGGAAAAGCCATTAACAAACAGATCCTTTCATTCTCAGAGGTCCATGAGCATTCAATAGAGATAAGCTGAGTTTATGGTTTATATCCTTCATAATGGTTTCCATGCTTCCTCACTGGCATTATCTGCAATAAGAATCTGACCCCAGTGCTAGTCTACCACAGTAGAGGCAAATTCCTTTATTTAAGGGGGAGGAAAAAGAGGAGGGGGAATAAAAGAGGCTCTTATATACAGAATTGTTTCTAGTAATGGTAAAAAGTAATTGTTTAGAATAGTAAATCATTATCACAATAAATACAACCAGAGCCAGATCTTGGAACATAAGCAATGATAAGAAAAAAGATTAGACAGCTTGGAAAGCCTGCCATGGGTTAGCGCAGAATGTCTCATACAATTTGCAAATGAAGAGTGAATGGAACACAGGACAGTGTATGCAGATTTATCAGTCATTCCCACTGTCATTCAAACATGGGAGGGTGAGCTAAACATTTGCTATATATAAACTCCAGCATGTTATGCTGTTTCACTGGGCTCGAGTATCATGTCACACATCTCATTTCCGTTTTCAATTCTTAGCAATGGGGCACAGTAAGAATTGTGATGCTCAGCTGAAGGTGACCCTAAGAGTTGTTGGCCACTCTTCTTTTTTTTTTTATTACTGTCAATAGAAGAAAGGCATTATAGATGCATATGCCCTGTTGTTCTGTTGATTTGATATAGAGAACATTCAGATAGCTTGGTGCTCATGAAAAGGACTGAGTCACTATCAACAATGCTCTCTGTAGGACATTGTAAGTGAACTAAATTGGACTATTGGAGTGCACTGACCAAGTATATGCTTATGTACATGCATGTTTATGTGAGTGCACATGTATGTATAGTACCTGTACCTATGTGAAAGCCAGAGATCAACCACAGGTTTAAGCCTTCAGAAACCAGTCATACTCCACTCTTACTTGGACTGGTGGTTCACCTAATAAATTAGACTAAATGGCCAGCCCCAGGAACCAGCTCTCTCCCTGTTCAGCACTGGGGTTACAAATGCATGCCACCATCATTCCTGACATTTTTAGGTAGGTTCTGGGAATTGAACTCAGGACCTCATGCTTATGCTGCAAGTTTCCCAACTAAACATCCCCCAGCTCCTTTATCCTCTCTGAGTTTGGTGTTTATGATGTGGAAAGTAAGAAGTATCACAACTTCTTGGAAGCAATTATAAAAGTAGAGGGAGACTAGAGGAAAGGAGAAGCCCTAAACCCTTGCTGCTATAATCCATCACGTCTTTACATGTTTAAATAACATCTTTAGTTTTTAATTAAACATTCATGATGCTATTAAGAAACAGGAAATTGGAGCTAGAGCGATAGCTCAGTGGTGAAGAACACTTGGCTTCTCTTCCAGAGGACCCAGGTTCAATTCTCAGCCCCCACATTGCAGCTCACAACTGTCTATAACTCCAGTTCCAGGGCTTCTGACACCCACACACAGACACATATTCAGGCAAATACTCACAAACATAGAATACAAATAATCTTTTTTAAAACTGAAAGAGAAAAATAAGCTTGCTGACATTTATAGCCAACTTGTTTATCGTCAAAAGTGTTTACTTTGTGTATGCAACATATTAATATTACATCAAAGTATAATACCCATTCCTATTTCTGAAGACTGTGAACCAGCTTGAGCATAACATATTTTTCTGAGTATAAGTGAGGGGTAATAACATTGAATATAGAAAACCTCTCTTAAAACACAGCTTATTTTTTACTAGAGCCTAATCTTTTCTTCAGATTTTTCTTATTTCATTGTAAAGATTTTATCCCTTAAAACTTCACTCATTAATAAGAGTCCTGTGTCATTATAACCTGCTTGGCTTCGTGCTAAAGCTTTACAGTGGTGATGCTTCTCAATCACAACATCATTGCCTCAAATGGCTCGCATCAATGTGCAGATGGGCCTGTGTAACATGATTTTTAAGTCCCCAAATCCAAGAAACCACTGACTGCATCTATTTGACAAAAATATCTAGTGTTTTGAGAGATCACCAGGAAAACAGAAACAAATCAGCTTCCCAAATGCTTTCCCCACGACATGTAGTTACTCTTCCCTGTGACCTTCCAACAGAGGCACCACCAATGTGGCTACTTAAAGGAGGAAATAGGGATTTACATGCATGTGAGGGGGTAGTTTACAGAAAGGGCTATGTCAGGAACCACTCACTGCCCATATCAAACTGGGATGAGCCCTGCCTGTCTTCAGTGGATGGGCATTTCCTCCTCAGTGCCACTGATTAGTTCAATGGTGCTTCTTAAACTGTCCAGGAATCCAAAGCAGGATTGACAGGAAATGACTTCCTTTTCTTCTCATTCAGTCAAATAGAATAGTCATTGGCTTCCTGTAAGGCGGCAACATTAGTAAATAGCACAATAGCGTCAAATATTCTGGCTGTCATTCCTGCTTTGGAAAGCATCCTTGGAATCTTAGAATTATCTCTTCTAAACTGAAAGGAACATAACTCACTGGTATTTATCTCATCTTGGACCGTGGATTCCTTTGAGAATCTGCAGAAGTAATGCTGTAGCTTCTCATCCCTGAAAAACACACAAAATTAAAAACTTCCATTAATTATTCCCATTCATAAACCTACTTTTGCCTGTTCAGGTGAGCAGAAACAGACCCAAGATCACAAAGTTGCATGCCCATGTTCCTGTAACTCTGACCTGGGTTCCTCTTCAAATTCTTCATTGCTGCCTTTTATAAGGACTGGTGCGTGTCCCACAGCTACCTGAAGAAATCATATTCAGGTTCTGCCGTGGTTTAGTTTTCTTTACCCCTTAAAAATCTTCCCTATTGGTTTCACTGTTGGAAGAGTCTCACAGAATTTTGTTTTGCTGGTGCCTTCTGCGAGGTGGAGAGCTTTCAACCACTAACACACACATGGATACAGGCTCACAAGCTCTAAGAATCAGGAAGAGGATAAGTGGATGGGGAGCATCCACTTATTTAATGTAAGCATTCAAAATAGAATCCAGGGAGAAGTGATCCCTAGCCGTATCCAGAACACACAACATTTCTCTGGCACTTTTATGATCAAGCCGATATCCCTTCTCAGTACTGAAAGCTCACACACAGCATTTAACATTTAAATCCATTTTCATCTGGACAGTTGCAATCTCCACATGACTTTCCTCTAGGCAGATGTTTTGACAATACACACACACACACACACACACACACACACACACACACACATATATATATATTTTACATCAGTTCTATTGGGAAGAGAAGATGGACCAATGGGTAATAACAATTCTTTTTATAAAAATGAGAACCTGAGTCCAAATCCCTGGCACTCACATAAAAGGTATGATATAGGGCATATGACTGCAACCCCAGGCCTGGGGGGAGTAACAACAAGAGGAGCACTGGGGTTTGCTAGCCACCAGCCTAGTTCCAGGTTTGATGAGAGACCCCGTCTTGAAGTAGTAAGGTAGGGAGTGGTGGCTACCTCTGCCCTCTGCACATACATAGCGTCCTGTGTACCAGGTCGCCCCCACCCCCACCACATACACACACTATAAAATGAAAAACTATCAGTACTACTGCTCAATCAAGTGGTTCCCCTTCAGAAGTTACCATAGTTTTATTCATTTTTCGAAGCAGGGATCACTTCTCCCTGAATTCTATTTTGAGTGCTTACACTAAACTCCCCATCCACGTATCCTCTTCTTGAGTCTTGAAGCTCGTGAGCCTGTGTCCATGTGGGTGTTAGTGGTTGATCCCCCTTTTCTTTTCATGCAACCACCACTTAGTACCAACAAGCAGGTTTGTGGTTCATCATTGACTCTGCCCCACCTCTTGATGGCTCAGTTTAAACGAAGACTGGTTAAAAAGAGAAAAAAAGAGAAAGAAAAGAAAAAAGAAAAGAATATATCATTTTCCAAAAAGAGCCCAAATTATCAGACATTTCAGTAGTTGACTATTAACAGAGAGCCCCACACATGCTGAAAACATGGAGTCTGCCATGAATATGGATCTTATAGCTGAGAATGTTCTTCTCACTTCTATTTTCTTCCGCTGTAGAGGAAACATTGGAAGATTGCCTTTCAGAGCGATAGGAGTATAATACTCAAACCAAACCAACTAGGCTCTTTGTGTAAATGAACGTTTCAGAAGCCTAAGACAGAGAGTATCATCCATTTCACTGCTCAGCCCTAAATGCCTCCTGGTTGTAATTAAGTACTTCAAAGTCTTCCACACACCCATTTAGAAATGACTGCCCCAAATACAAAATGATGTCCAATCAGATGTAAATCATCCCACAGCAGGGAGAGAAAGAGAGGCTGGGGAAGCGGTAAGGGCTTGGACTAATCAGAAAGTCTGGTCCCCTGATGAGGATTTTCGTTGTTTCTCATTTGTCATTCTAGCCACTGAGGTCTCAAGTGGCCAATTTGCTCCCTATTGGTAATCAGCTAGTTATTTTTACTCTCAGTCCTCCCTCTGGGACTGTCAGCCGACTTGGAGCAATTCGTCGCCCATTTGGGCCAAACTCTTCTATGACGGGAAGTGAGGGAAGAAAGATATTCTTCTGCAAAAGATAAAATCAAGGAATATTTCATCATTTATATTCAGTTTTTAAACAATGACTTCCCCGATGAGGTAAGTGAAATAATGACACAACTGGGTAGATCTGGGGAGAGAAAGCTCCAGGCTCTGTGCATTATGCAATGGAAACGATCTCCGGCTGTGAAGTTTGCTACTCTGAGATGACTTGTTCTTAGATTGTCTTTACAACTCCCCAAAGAGCATCCTCTTACACTCATTACTTACTTTGCAGGAAACTGCCTCTATGAAAATTATAAATGCAGAAGGGAGCATAATAAGACTGTAGGAGACATTAGTGGTTATCCTAAACCATGCTGCCCTGCCACCTGGGAGGAAGGTAGCCTCTGATGGTTATTTGGTCTGAAACAGGACAGTTACTATGTTACAGAACATCCCTCCTCCATTCGCGCCCCCCCTCCCCGCCCCGGATGTCTCACTTACAGCATCTCACTTTAAAGCGCCTCTTGAGTTTCCTTTCTTCCTTCCCTCCAGCAGTTGCAGTCTGTCTCTAACAAAATCATTTCCAAACATGTTTTTAGGTGTTTCATTTCTCCGAGTTCACCTTGGGAGCCATGCAAAGGTTGACTCTGCCACTCATTGCAGCTGACTCTCTGATGTCAGTACATTGTCTAATGAGTGGGTGTCTGAGTTGATATCTGCTCAGATTTCCCTCAGCTATTCTAAAAACCCAAATTTCAAACCCCCAGGGCCAACTGTTCCCCACAGCCAGCGGTTCATGTTCTCCAAGTCCAGGCTCAGCCTTGAGAGAGATGTTAGTATGACACAAATTGGCATTTTCTTGGCATTTCCTTTGCCCATAGACAGCTCTTTATTCCTTGGAAGGAAACTGAGAGTTGAATAGCCCTTCTAGCTGTTTCCTTAGAGACTGCATTTGGGCAGCAACATGATCTGAATCTTGAAATGTTTATCTTCCTCCACCAATTTCACTGTCTTGAACCCTTTCCTGTGTCTTTACAGTTTATAAATGCTGTCCTATGTAACTTTACTTTTACATGTGCCTATCTATAAGGAGAATGCAAAGAGACAGAGAAAGCATGTTCACATACCCATGTCAAGTGTTCTACCTTTTCATCTGTTAATTCCCTCCATGAACAGCTATTTGCACACTGGGTGATATCACCCAACAGCTGTCTTGGACTAGAAACTGAAATGCCTGTAGATTTCCAGTCTTTTGTCTTACCTACCCAACAATTTGTCTCCTTTCCAAAATGCTAGATTAATAAAGGAATGCTTGGCTCCCTTTGCTGAGAACTGAATCTTATAGCTTTAAAGAAACAATTTTACAACTTACCTAGTGTTTTATTATAATTGTCAAATTTAGTTTGTAATTGTCAAACTTAATTCTAAATTTGCTTTCAAGAATCATTAACTGTGATGTCTTAAGAATATGAGCTTTACTATTTAGTGAAAAAGAAAAAGTATTTCTATAAAAGTCTGTTTTCCAATCTGCAGTTTGGGAAGAGGATGTGTGTGTGTGAGTATGTGGTTTTATGTATGTATGTGTGTTGGTGTATGTGTATCTGTGGGTGTGTATGTGTGTATATATGTGTGTTGGGGTGTGTGGAGGTGTATGTGTGTGTGTATATGTATGTATGTGCGGCTGTATGTATGTGTACGTGTGTCTGAGTATGTGTGTATTGTGTTTGTATATGTGTGTGTGTATTATGTTTGTGTATGTGTGTGAATATGTGTGTATTTTGTTTGTGTATGTGTGTGTATTGTGTTTGCATATGTGTGTATGTGTGTATGTGTGTGTGTTGGTGCATATGTGTAGCGATGTATAGTGAGAGGGATGATACTTTATTTGCCCAGTGTCCCCAAGTTGACCTAAATGAGAATCTTTATGTCTGGTATATTATAGGCTTGTAGATCCCTTAGTTGCAATGAACAGAGCTTTCTGTGTCCCATTTTACACAAAAAATGATCTGTTTAATTACTTATTATTCTTTAATGAGTGTCATTATTATCCATTCTTACTAAATGCTATAATATTACACACATACATACAAATGCTTTCTCAGTGAAATATAGATTTCTGAGATTCTTTCTATTCCTCCTGATCTACTCTTTCATCTTGGTCTCTGTCATTGCCATAATATCCATTCTTGGCTCCTTGTCTCTATTTTGGCCATTGTTTTCATTCTCTTTATACTCCAAAATATTTGTTTATGTAAGAGTGAGACCATTGCCACTGAAGGCTTCTCCAGACTGCCACTGGATTACCTGGGGCCATGTAGACATTATTTGCAGCTCAACACATTCCTACAAACTATCTGTTTAACCAACACTCAGACTGAAGAAAAGAATCCCAAAATTAGAGAGCATTTGACCTAATCATAATAAACAAAATGGGAGCTCACATTTTGCTGTCTCCTCACTCCCCTTTTATCTATTTACCTTTATAGATTAAAAAAAATAGGCTAATGAAAGGTTCAGAAGGAACAATCCAAGCCAAGAGAAATTAAACAACAGAACTGGTCCTTTGTTTCAGATCAGTTGAAAAGAACTCAGACTGATGATCTAAGACCCTATCAGATTTTGTGCCTGTCTATTCTCAATAGCTAAAAGAGCCTTCCTGTGAGATCGACGAGTCCTTCCCAGGGGATCCAGATCTCCCAAGCAGTCAGGATTGTACCCCTTCATCACGCTTCCTTGCAGGAAGCTGTCATACTTTCTACAAAGTCATTTCTTTGGGTTTAAATCAAGTTAAAACAGCATGACTCTTCAGGAACTTAGAGTCTTGCTTTCCCTTGGGGTCCTTGCCTTGAAAACGTCAGTAAAGCTCAAAAATAGCTAGGGAAAGACTCCCTGGCTGAAGACCAACCCCCAGGACAATGATTACATCATGAGCTACATCATAGAAATTATTTTCCTGGTACTTATAAGACTGTACCTGTCTTCCTCTTGTGTTAAAATCATATGCAGATGTCAAACTTTCCTGTTCTGAATGGGTACAAGATGT